GGAGGAGGAGGAGGAGGAGGAGGAGGAGGCTGGTGCCCAGCAAGGACAAGTGGGAGCTCCGGCCGGGTTCAGCCAGCGCCTCCACCTTGGGGGGGGCCGGCGGCTGCTGCAACGAGTGCTCGCTGGACACGGACTGCGTGGCGTGGGTGTGGGGCGCCCGCCTCGGCAGCGCCCTGGCGGCGGGCGCGCCACGCCGCCCCATCGAGCCCGCGCTTCGGCGGCGCCGCGGCGCGGGCCCGCTGATCCTCAGGACGTGTGCCGCAGGGCTGGACCTCACGGTGTTTGGGCGATTTCGTGGGCCGTTTTCGTTTCGACTTCGTTCTGCGGTAGAGGTGGACTGAAGACGAAACGAGGGAAAACGAAAACGAAAACAAACGAAAACGAAAAACGAAAACGAACACGAACAAGTGACACGAAAATGAATAAACGAAAACGAAAACGAAGGGATCGCGAGGGAAAGCGAAAACAAAACGAAAACGAAAAAAACACCGTTGAGGTTCAGCCCTGGCGTGCCGCGCCTCGGCGGCAGGGCGGCGCCGTGGCGTGGGCGCCCTCCTCGGCGCGGTCGTGGGCACCACGGCTTGGACATGCTCGCGCCGTTGGAACAAATCTCGGGTGTTGCTAGAGGTGCCCCTGGCCCAAGGTGCCCCCCAGCTTTCCGCTCCATTCTGGAGCCCATGGGGCCCGCTGGGCCTCGCGAGGGGGTGCTCTGGAGGCCGCTTGGGCTGCCCCGAGAATCCTGGGGGCCCCTTGGCCCAGGGGCACTTCTAGCAACGCCCGAGAATCACGGCGGGGGGGGGGGGTTCGGCCTCTCGGGGCCGCCGCGGGACCCCCGGGCAGTCAACAAAACGGCTCGGGGGTGAAGAGCTGGCCCGCGGGAGAGGGGCTGGGACTTCACGGGGGGCCTTGCGCCGCGGGGAAGCAGGCCACACCGGGCCACGCCGGGGGCCAAACCAGGCAGATCGTGAGGACGTCCCAGGCAGGATCGCCCACATCTCCTGAATCCGTCGCAAAGAAGCGGGCCAAGCCAGGCCACACCGGGGGCCAAACCAGGCAGAGCATGAGGACGTCCCAGGCAGGACCGCCCACATCTCCTCAATGACATTCTCGAAGCCCCCGCGAGCGGAGGCCCGTTTGGAATTTGTGGTGGGGGCGTCTGGGCCGCGCGCCCGCCGATGCGGGCCGGGTTGGGCGCAGAAGCATGCATCTGTCTTTCGGGTGTTGTGGGGGCCTCGGTGCGACGAGAAATACACCCGAGCCTTTCGATCGCAAGATCCTAGGCTTGACCTAGGTTCGGAATCGTCACAGTTGTTGTTGATAATGTTGTTCTTGGTGGTGGTGGTGGTGGTGGTGGTGGTGCTGTTGTTGTTGTTGTTGTTGTTGTTGTTGTTGTCGTCGTCGTCGTTGTTGTTGTTGCTGTTGCTGTTGCTGTTGCTGTTGCTGTTGCTGCTGCTGCTGTTGTCGTTGTCGTTGTTGTCGTTGTCGTTGTTGTTGGTGGTGTTGTTGTTGTCGTTGTTGTTGTTGCTGGGTCAGGGTGTTCGATCGCAATATCGCAGGAGTGGCCTTCGCTCGCCGTCACCACAGCTGATGCCGGAGGGGCGCGTTGGAAGGCAAAGCCTCGGGGATGTTTTCCGGGCTTGCAAGTCGCCGCGTTAGGGATCACTTTCGCCGAAGATTTCTGATGCGGTCGAGCTTGCCTTGGATGACGGTGGGAATTCTGCCACGGACACCGCTCGACAGCATGATTTTCTGGATAGAGGTGGATGACTTTTTCAGTTCTGGTCTCGTGAGCGACCCTTTCGATTTGTTCTTCGTGGGCATCCCGCAGGCGGGCAAGACACGGTCAGAGAGGTCCCCCGCTTACCGCTTACCTGACAACAACAATGCGCGTCCGTGCCGTGCCGCCCAACTTGGACGTAGGCAGTGCCGTTCCAAAGAATTGGTTAGCATGAGCATCCCGGGGATTTCCTCCAGGGGCCCTCTTCGAGGGCTCCAGCGAGGGGTCCCGCTGTGGGCCCACTCCCGGGTTGCAATGCGGCCTCGCTGCTCGCGCAGCGTTGGCTGAGCGAGGACGGTCCGGGGCCCCCGCCGTGGGGTAGGGACCCGCTCGCAGCATGTGCACCGCGCGCGGTAGGTCGCGCGCTGCGATCTGTGTTCCACGGCGTTGTTCTGTAGGAGATCTGTTCCGCTCGGCCACTTACCGCTCCGCCGCCGCCGCCTGCGTGCGTGCGGATGACACGAGAGTTGGTCGCACCACCTCCTCGTTGCCCTTCCCCTCCTCCGCCTCCCCCTCCTCATCTGTCGCCTCCCCCTCCTCCGCTATCCCCTCCGCCTCCTCCTCCGCCTCCTCCTCCGCCTCCTGCTCCGCCTCCTCCTCCTCGCCGAGGCGAGAAACGCGGCGAGGTTTTTTCGGACATGTGTTTCCTGAAGGACCGCCCCGCGCGCCGAACCCTCCCGCAACGACGACGATGACGACGACGCCGACGACGACGACGCCGACGACGCCGACGCCAACGCCGACCCGCCGACGACGCCGACGCCGACGCCGCCGACGCCGACGCCGACCCGCCGACGCCGACGCCGATGACGACGACGACGCCGACGACGCCGACGCCGACGACGCCGACGCCGACGACGACGACGACGATGCTGACGACGGCGACGCCGACGACTCCGACGACAACACCGACGACGACGACGACGACGACGATGCCGACCACGACAGCAGGGTTGCGAAACCCTGTGGTGTTTTGTATGTTGTTGTTGACACTTGGTTTTGAAATCCTTACGAAGCCGCAGGTTTTTGCAGGATTTCGGCATGCACGCGCGACAACGCGCGCGGTGTGCACTTCGTCTTGTTTTTCTTGTGCAAAGGATTGTTAGAAACTGCTTTTTGTTAAACGAGTGCGCGCGCATATATTTTTTTTGTCCGAGGAAGGCAGGGGGGCCGATACCAGCCCCCCTGGGCTGGTGCGAGTTCATGTCCAGGATGGACGACGCAAATTCAGATGCAAATTGCAGATTCAGATGCAAATTGCAGTGCGAAAGAAAAGCCGAATCAACAATTCCGGCGGGGAATCGGTTGTCTTTCTATAAAAGGTGAATCTACGTGGTGCATTACATGTGGTACGACCTAGGTGGTGCAGTCTATGTGGTGCACCTGACGTGGTGCAATCTACGTGGTGCAATTAATCTTGACCGTCTTGAAGCTGTCCTCTCCACTGCTCGTGCAAACATCCCACCCTCCCACCCGCAACTTGGTCGCAAGACCTCTTCAGACAAGACCGTGACGGTAGGTACCACATGGCACTTGGCCACGACACCGACGCCGACGACGACAGCGACATCGACGACGACGGCGCCGCCGACACCGACTGCGACGACACCGACGACGTCTCCAATGTTTTCGACGACGACAACGACGACGACGACACCGACGACGACGACGACAACGACGCCGACGACGACGACGAAGACGACGACGTCGCCAACGGAGACGACGACGAGGGAGAAGAAAAAACGACGACGGCGACAACGACGACAACGACGATGGAGGAGGGAAGACGGCGACGACGCCAATGACGAAGAAGGAGGAAGGACGGCGACGCCGACGACGACAACGACGAGGGAGGAGGGAAGACGACGACGATGACAACGACGACGAAGACGACGACGACGGCGACGAAATAGGAGGGACGACGACGAGACGCCGACGACGGACGACGACGACGAGGGAGGAGGATAACGACGAGGGAGGAATGAAGACCACGACGACGACGACGACGACGACGGCGACGAAATAGGAGGGACAACGACGAGACGCCGACGAAGACAACGAGGGAGGAAGGACGACCACGGCGACAACGACGACGGAAGCGACGACGACGCCAAGACGACGACGACGACGAGGAAAGACAGAAGACGACGACGGCGACGACGACGACGACGACGACGACGACGAGGGAGGAGGGAGGACGACGACGACGACGACGACGCAAGAGCGCGCGCGCACACTTTTGTTGAAAGCCCGTGTTGCGAAACCTTGTTTTTTCGTAGGTTTTCTGGACGCACGATTTCGAAATCCTTCCGAAACCAAAGGTTTTGAAGGATTTCGGCATACGCCCGCGACGACGCGCGCGTCTGCACTTCGTCCCGTTTTTTGCAGAGGATTCTCGCGACGGCACACGCGCAAGGGCGTTCGACAGATTTCGACATGCGCGCGCGCGAAGCCCGTTTGGTAGCATTTTGTGAAAATCTTGGAAAACCTGTGGTTTTCTTAAGATTTCGCAAGAGCTCGCGCGTAGCTTTTTTAGCAAATCAGTTGTGCGAAACCATGTGTTTTTGTATGTTTTTTGGAAATTCAAGTTTGAAATCTCTTCGGAACCGAAGGTTTTTGAAGGCATGCGCGCGCGACGACGCGCGCGTGCGCACTTCGTCCAATTTGTTGCAAGGGATTCGCGATAAAGTGCGATGTTAGAGCAAAAAAAGTCACCGCATAGTGTTTTTTTATTATATATATATATATATATATATATATATATATAAAAAAAAAAAAAAAAAAAAAAAAAAGGAACCTCAGGGGGGTGAAACTGGCCTGCTTGGGATGGTATGATTTTAAATTTAGGATGGACGAGTGTGCAGAATATATGTGTATATATATTTATATTTATGTATATATATGAAAGTATACTATCCCAGGGGGAAGCGTTAAGTCCTGGGGGGGGTAGAGTCTATTTTTTGCTTAGAAAGGAGAATTGGTTTTAACAACCGAGTTGACACATTCCCTGTTCTTGCAAACGTCCCACCCACCCAATCGCAACTTGGTTTGCAAAACCCATGCGGTGGCGATTGCGATGCATGCTTGGCGTTGGCTGGTGAATCTTTGCGGCCGTGCCAACCGAAGCGCGCGCGCAGCGGCCAGCTAGTTCGGCGCGACCGACGCGGCCGCGGCGGCGCTGACCGTTGGGCACATACCAGCGGGCACTTCACTGCGAGTCGGCGTCTTGGGCGGGCGCGGTATCATGGCAACGTCGACAACGGCAGACACGATGATGATAGTAGCGACGCTGGTGGCGATGCTGGCAACGACGAAGGCGCGGCCAATGCGAGCGCCGATGCGGATCACGCCGACAACGATGACGGCGTCCCCGCGTCGGTGATGAAGGTTTTGGAAGGAGTTTGACACGCGCGCGCGGCCGACGCGCGAGAGTGGCCCGCATGGCATTATTTGACACGGATCGCGCCCTCCCCCCCCTTTGCGCGCGCAAGGGCGTGCGAATGATGTCGGCCTGCGGCGCGAGAGGCCCGTTTGGAAGAACCCATGAACACGTCGATAAACCGACGGTTTCCACATGAATTCGCAAAAACGCAAATGCGCGTCGTTTTGAAAACTGATGTTGCGACACCATGTGTGTTTGTATGTGTTTTTGGACACTCGGTCTTGGAACCGCTACGAAGCCGAAGGTTTTTGAAGGATTCCGGCATGGGCGCGCGACGACGCGCGCGCGCGTGTGCACACCGTCGCACTTGTTGCAAAATATTCTCGCGACGGCACGCGCGCAAGGGCGTTCCAACGATTTCGACAAGCGCGCGCGCATTTTCCGAAAATATTGAAACCAATGGTTTTCTTAAGAATTCGCAAAGTCGCGCACAAACTGTTTTTGGAACTCCGTGTTGCGAAACCCTGTGTTTTTATTTGTTATTTCGACTGTCGGTTTTGATGTGTTACCCGATGTTTGAAAACGAGTTTATTGAACATGGTTTTTGGTATTGTTGCGAGGGCGAATTGGGAAGTTAGGGTTTTGATAAACGAGTGCGCGCGTATAGTATTGTGGTGGCCTCCGGCCAGTGCCGCCGATCCGGGGGCGCTCCGACTGATGTGATCCTCCTTCGCCTTCGCCCTTCCTCTCTTGTTCCCTCCCTCCCCTTCTCACTTTGCATTTATCGAAGACGCCTACGGCGAATCACCGCCGCCCCCTGCCTTTTTGGAAGTGCCTATGTGGCCGAACGTTGAGGCCAGACCTGCCAAGCTATCGGATCATGTGTTCCCCGAGTCGGTCTGGAAAGGTTTCGGGGAACACGTGGGCATCTTGAAGGTCATCTTGGCCGACGGGGGGCCATTTTGACCCCTTCGGGCCTTCTTGGAGGACCTCTTCAAGGGCTCTTGGGCAGTCTTGGAGGCCATCTTGAGCGTTTTGGAGGCCTCTTGGGCCGTCTTGGGGGCCTCTTGGGGCCGTCTTGGGCCTACTGGGCGATCTTTGGGGGCACTTGGGCCTTCTCGGGCCGTCGGAAGGCCGGAAAAAAGCAAATGCCACAATCCTTTAAAACTCATGGTAAATCAATGATTTTAGCCTTTTCGGGCCCTTCCTGGAGGCCCTCTTGGAGGCCTCTTGGGCCGTCTTGGGCCATCTTAGGGCCATCTTCGGCCGTTTTGGTGAGCTCTTGGTTCGTCCGACGCCGTCGGAAGCCGTGTGGGGGGCCTCTCTGGGCCGACTTGGGGCCCTCTTGGAATGCTCCAGGGCCGTCTTGAAGGCCATCTTGGGTGTCTGAAAGGCCTCCTGGGCCGTCTTGGGGGCCTCTTGGGGTCGTCTTGGGGGCCTCTTGGGCCGTTCTTGGCCCATCTTGGAAGCCTCTTGGGCGATCTTTGGGTGCTCTTGGGCCGTCTCGGGCCGTCGGAAGGCCGAAAAGAAGCAAATGTCAAAATCCTTCAAAAACCGTAGGACAGTCCGTGTTTGGGGCATTTTCTGGCCTTCTGGAGGCCCTCTTGGAGGCTTCTTGGGCCGTCTTGGGCCATCTTAGGGCCAACTTCGGCCATCTTGGTGGGTTCCTGGCCCGTCTGACGCCGTCGGGAGCCGGTTGCGGGGTGGGTCGCGGGTGGATCGCGTGTGGGTCGCGGGGTGGGTCGCGGGTGGGTTGCGGGCTGGATCGCGGGTTGGATCGCGGGTGGGTCGCGGGTGGGTCGCGGGTGGGTGGCGGGGTGGGTCGCGGGTGGGTCGCGGGTTGGGTCGCGGGTGGGTCGCGGGGTGGGTCGCGGGGTGTGTCGAAAGATGGGTCGCGGGGTGGGTCGCGGGTGGCTCGCAGATGGGACGGCGACACCAACAACAACAACAACAACAACGCAACAATCATAATTCCCACCACGACTTCCCTATTCAGCCACGCGCCCAGGGATAATGAATGACCGTTCGGCCCCCTCACTCTGATACAATATCATACAGATAAATATCAACACGTATATGAAATTATGTCTGTATATACATATATATAGAGAGAGAGCGAGAGAGGTTGAAAGAAAGACAACGAAAAGAAAAAGCGAGAGAAAGATACATATAGAGAGAGAGAGAACAAAAAAAAAAAAAAAAACACACAAAAGAAAGCGCGAGAGATGGATATGCGTCGCCCGCCTCCCCGCCTTCTTCCCCGCACCGCCAGGGCGGCCATCCGCGCGGTCAGATCACGCGGGTGCCCAATCCGGACGTGGTGTCCGGCCAGCCCACGCAGGCGGCCGCCGCGGGGGGGGCGGGGGCGCGGCGATTTGAGGAGCCCAGCAGGGGCGGGGGGCGAGAAGGAGGAGGAAAAGGCAATAGAGGAAATCGATGTATGTGGAAGGAGGAGGAAGAGGGAGGGAGGGAGAGGGAAACGAATGAGGAGAAAAAGAAAAAGGAGAGGAGGAGGAGGAGGAGGAGGAGGAGGAAGCAGGAGGAGGAAGCAGGAGGAGGAGGAGGAAGAGGAGGAAGAGGAGGAAGAGGAAGAGGAGGAGACAAGGAATAATAATCATACGTACAGAAGAAGAAACTTAATAATCAGAAGAAGAATAAGAAGAGGATGAGGAATGCGAATGATAAGAAGACGCATGTATTTTACGACAGATTTACCCACCAAGTTTTCAATGAGAAGAATATATGTAGCGACAAGGAGGAAACAAGAAGAACGGGACGCGCGGCCAGGAAAATGATGCGCGACTCCGGTGGCTGCTCTCACGTCGGTCCAACGTCTCCGGTTGTCCGCCGTGTGAAGGGCGTTCAACGACGCGATTCCATGGATTCTTTGGGGCGGCCACGAAAAGGGTGCAGCTCGAAGGGGGATGATTGGGGGAGATATGATGGTCGGGGCTATGATATAGAAAGTGCGCCAGTGGATCTCCCTGAATCCACTACAGATGGGGGGGGGTGCAGAAACCCCCCCTTTCCCCCCTGCATAGAGGGGGGGGGGGGTCCAGAACCCCCCCCTCCTCCCCCCCTCCTCCCCCCTAAGGGGGGGGGGGGGTCCGAACCCCCCCCTCCCCCCCCCCCCCCTCCCCACCCTTGGCGCTAGAAAGGGGGGGGGGGGTCGGACGCCCCCCCCCCCTCCCCCCCTTTGCGCCGGAAAGGGAGCCGGGGAGGGGGGACCTCTCTCGCTTCCCCTGTCTGCGCCGGAGAAGGTGTGTAGGGAGTACGGAGTTGGGAGTAGGGAGTGGTGAGTATTGACTAGTGAGTTAGTGCGTAGTGAGTAGTGAGTATTGGGTAGTGAGTAGTGGGTAGTGAGTGGCGAGTAGGGAGTAGGGAGTAGGGAATGGGGAGTAGTGAGTAGTCAATAGTGAGTAGTGTGTACTGATAAGTGAGTAGTGGCGAGTAGCGAGTAGCGAGTAGTTCCCTACCTAGGCTCTGCCTAGAAGGGTTCTTATTGTGTTCTCTTAAAGGGCCGGGCAGTGGAAAGCGCCCCCAGCGGTTCCCCCGGCATCCGTCCCGTGGTTCCCCCAGTTACGTCCCTTTAACTTAGCGTTGCTTATCTCATCTTAACTTAGCTTGTTTCATATGAGCTTAGCTTATTTCATCTTAGCTCAGGTTTATCTTAGTTTAGCTTAGTTTAGCATAGCGCAGTGCTGCATTAACACATCATAGCAACGCATAGCATAGCAAACCATATCATATCATATCATGGCGCAGCATAGCATATCATATCATAGCACATCATGCAATATCACATGATAGCATCGTATAGCATAGCGCAGCATAGCATAGCATAGCATAGCATAGCACAGCGCAGCGTGACATAGCACAGCTTAGCACAGCACCGCATGGCGCAGCATAGCGCAGCATAGCATAACATAGCATAGCATAGCGCAGCATAGCATGGTATAGCATTTGATAACATAGCATAGCAAAAATGCTGCTTTCCTAGGGGCTCCAACTTCTAGGTCGGGTCGCACTGGTAATGAGTACTGAGTAGGGAGTAGGGAGTAATGAGTAGTGGGTAGTGAGTAGTGGGTAGTGAGTAGTGGGTGGCGAGTGGTGATTAGTGAGTAGTGAGTAGTGGGTAGTGCGTAGTGCGCAGTGGTGCGTAGTGAGTAGTGAGTAGTGAGTAGAGAGTAGCGAGTAGTGAGTAGTGAGTAGTGAGTACTGAGTAGTACGTAGTGCGTCGCGAGGAGTGAGTAGTGAGTAGTGATGAATAGAGTAGTGTGTAGTGGCAGTGGATAGTGAGTAGTGAGTAGCGAGTAGGGAGTAGCGAGCAGTGAGTAGGGAGGAGCGAGTAGGGCGTAGTAAGTAGTGCGTAGTGAGTAAAGAGTAGTCAGTAGTGAGTAGTGGGTGGTGATTAGTGAGTAACGAGTAGGGGGTCGCGAATAGTGAGTAGTGGGTAGTGCGTAGGGAGTAGGGAGTAGTGAGCAGTGAGTAGTAAGAAGTGGGTAGCGAATAGTGGGTAGCGAGTAGCGATTAGTGAGTAGTGAGTACTGGGTGGTGAGTAGTGACTAGTGACTAGTGAGTTGTGACTAGTGACTAGAGATTATGTAGTGACTAGTGAGTAGGGAGTGGTGAGTAGTGAGTAGTGAGTAGCGGGGAGTGAGTAGTCAGTATTGAGTAGCGACTATGGGAGTAGCAAGTAGTCAGTACTGAGTACTGTGTAGTCAGTATGGTTGAGGGAGTAACGAGTAGTGGGTAGTGAGTCGTGATTTGTTGGCAATGGGTGAGTAGTGAGTAGTGAGGAGTGTATAGTGGGTAATGGGTAATGAGTAGTGATTAGTGAGTAGTGAGTAGGGAGTAGTGAGTAGTGCTTAGTGAGTAGTGAGTATTGAGTAGTGGGCAGTGGGTAGTGAGTAGTGAGTGGTAAGTAGGGAGGAGGGCGTAGGGAGTAGTGAGTATCGAGTAGTGAGTGGTGGGTAGTGAATAGTGGAGAGTGAGTAGTGAGTCGTGAGTAGTAAGTAGGGGGTAGTGACAAGTGAGTAGCGAATAGCGAGTAGTCAGTAGTGGGTAGTGAGTAATGTGTAGGGAGAACTCTTTGGGGCTGGGGTTCGTGGTTGGGATTAGGATTAGGGGGTTGGGTTAGGGTGAGGGAAACTAGGGTGCGGTGGCGGGGATCGGTTCACGGAGTCAGCCAGGGGGCCGGCGTGGCGAAAGAGGTGCGGCGGCGGCAGGGGGGGTTCGCCAACAAAGGGGGGGAGGGGGGTGTGGGGTCGGACCCCCACTCCATTTTGAAAGTGGGAAAGGGGGGGGGGGGGGGGGGGTGGGGGGGGGGGGGGTCCCCCACGACGGATCGAGATCGAGGAAAGGGGGGGGGGGGGGGTCCCCGACGACGGGTCGGGGAAGAAGGGGGGGGGCTCCCCGACGACGGATCGAGGAAAGGCCCCCCCCCTTGGGGTTATCCAGCGGCGCACCCACTATGATAGATATATATATATATACATACATATACATATACATATACACACATACATACATACATATCTACCTACCTACCTACCTACCTACCTACCTACCTACCTACATACATACATACATACATGCATGCATGGTTGTGTGTGTTCAGATTTCGTGGCAGTTATTCGTTTTCTTATTATTCTTCTTATGTTTCTTATTATTTTTCTTATTCTTATGTTTCTTAGTCTTCTTCGTATTATTATTATTCTTCTTATTATAATTACTAGTATTAATAATATTTTGATTCTTCGTCTTTCACTACGTTCCCGCCCCCCCTCCCGGGCCGCGAACGTGCCTCGGGCCATGATTTGCTCCCCCCCTCTTGGAAACCCTTGGCTTCCAGTCAACCAGTCGCGCACACCATCTCCTGTCGGCGTGGGCAGCTCAGCGCAAGTAGCTCGACTCCGAGGGCTGCAAACTGGATCCGGGATGCAAAGCTGCCTCCAAGGAAGGGGCCCAGGAGTTCAGGGGACGCGCGTCGAGAAAGTGATCGGAGGATGTGAGGAGTGAGGGTTCGAGGCGAATGTGCTGCATCTCTCGGGCATCCCGAGAGAGTGGAGGCGGGGATCGAGGGTCGAGCAGGAGCAGCTCCTCTTCCCCCTCCTCCAATTCGAGGCATCGAGGGTCGAGTAGGAGTAGCTCTTCTTCCCCCTCCTCCAATTTTCCAATTTGAGGGATCGAGGGTCGAGGTTTTTGGGGGAGCTTTGGGTCTCTCCTGGGCCTCACGGGGGCCAGCTCCCGGTGGCTCCCCGCCTGCGCTCGCCTCCGCGCTGCGCGGGGGGGGGGGGGACTCAGGGCAACTTAGGAGCAGGGGGGGCGGCAGGCGGAGCAACGGGAGGTGCTGTTTGCTGCGTCGTCGTCGTCGTCGTCGTCGTCGTCGTCGTCGTCGTCGTCGTCGTCGTGGTCGGCGTCGTCGTCGTCGTCGTCGTCGTCGTCGTCGTCGGCGTCCTCGGCGTCGTCGTCGTCGTCGTCCTCGGCGTCCTCGGCGTCCTCGGCGTCCTCGGCGTCCTCGGCGTCGCCGTCCTCGGCGTCCTCGGCGTCCTCGGCGTCGTCGTCGCAGGGTAGCGAGTTGCTGGCGCCTCCCCTCTCCACCTTACGCACCGCCGTGGGGCGGGTTTCTCAGAAGCGCCCCTTCTTCTCAGCAGGCGCGGGCCTTATCTATAAGTGTGGGGAAGGCGCCCTCGAAGAAGCAGCCTCCTCCTGAGAAGCCTTCCCCCCTCCCCCCACCCCACTGTGCGCGCCGCCAAATGTTGGGAAACAGCCAGTAGACTTCGGACATAAACCATGGGAGCCTCGTATACCCTCGTAATTTCGTCTGCAGGGTGCACGGACGTCGGTTAGCGTCGCGCAGTCGATGGGACAGCGCCGATTTGGCGTCGACTACCCAGACATCCGACGTCTCGAGTTTTTCGAGACGCGGGCCCCCGACCTCCCGACGACCACTTCCCTGGGACCGGATCTTCATCCCGAGTCGTTTTTTGACGGTCCCGAGGCCCGGCGAGGGCCCCGAGAGGCTAAAAACTACGAAAATCCTCTGTCTCGATTTTTTCGAGACGCCCGATGTTTGGGTAGCGTCGGTTCGCGTCGACCTGACGGTCTAGCGTCCATGAGCGCCCGCCATCTCACGCACTGTCACGCACGGGAAGGGCAGAGGGGGGCCCTGCACTTCACAGCGGATCCCTGAGGCCGCCGTCCCTCTGGCGGAGAGGCCCGCACGCGGTCCCGCGGGAGTCGCGCCTGCGCTCCTAGCCAGAGATCCAACGCGTTGGAAAAATCAGGACGGAGGTCTTTGTACTTTTTCGGCCTCGAGGGGCCCTCGCCGGGCCCCGG